ATGTACCGGAAAACTTTTCATCCTATGGGACAGCGAGGATTCTTGGCCTTCCTATAAAGAAAATGCACTTCTGTGCTCTTGAGTTTCCCTATAAGAACTTTTATTGGCATACGTAAGATCATACAAAAAGATTACGCATGATTGGCAGAGATCTCACAGGTGAAAATAAGACCATCAGTAAAGCTCATGACACCAAAAGGGATTGGTATTCCATATGGTATCACAGCGTTACTACTATTTGCCTATGTGTGAGGAGGATACTGCGCCTTAGTGGTTTCAACTTAAATCAAAAACTTTGACTTTACAGACTAATTTTGTTTTTAAACGCTCTTTTGCATTGGCTAAAGCAAAAGCTCTTATTAGGCGCCGCGAAGTAAGCGGGCATTGGCTAGTTATCAAATAAAAAATATAATATGTAAATTTTAAACAAAAATAAAAAATTTTAAGTCTGATTTAACGTTGAATCTACAAAAAAAAGATTACATACAAATCAAATGCTTTTCTATACGCTTCAATTTATGTCAGAAAATAATTCAGGCACAACGAAGCTGCAACTTTTACATTTCCCATTTCAAATAGAATAGATTACTCACGAAAATCACTATAATTTTGCCACTTTACAACACTTACATTAAATTTAGCATCTACACACAACAATTGCAACACAAAATATCAACAATAAAAAAAGCTTTTACTCACCTCTAAAACAGTGTAGTTGATTTAAAATTGTAATGCCATACAATCAGCAAAACTGCTGCGATTCACCAGGATGTGCGCGCGATAATCTTGTGCGAAAGGCCAAATATGGCGAAAAATGCGTGTAGAGAGGCAATCGTACAGCAGCAGGGCTGACAGCTAGAACAATGCAACAAAAGACACAAAAAAATAACACAATGCAGATGGATGTATGTATGTCTGAAAGCAATGCCAATCACGCACTCAAGAACTTGATGTATGTATGTATGCTTCACTTTTGTTATTGTTGCTTACGCTGCAGGTAACTTGTAATATGCCACCCCATACATATGTGCGCTACTTGACCGACCGATGACGACAGCGACAACGACGATGACGACGAATTGCATTGAGTGAACGAATTATTGGTGATTTCTTTTAGTGGTCTTATCTATCAGCAATCACAAAAGGCCAAGTAAACGCGTTTGCACATACCACGTAAGTACATGCTACATACAATACATATTTATGTAAGAATACATATGCGCGATGGTAATCATTTAGGTACGAAAACGTACATTTAAAGCAAACTACTAGTTGGCAATTTGCTTGAGATATGGCTTATATTCGTGCTTACAATTGCGCTCGAAGCAAAAGCACGCAGTGCAGTAACAACAACTTAAGTAGGTGTAAATGAAAAGTGATAATTGTAAAATTATTACTTAGCAGTGCTGCTGATCATCTCCATAATTTCAATTTGATTATTTTAATTTATGCGATTTCACATGTTTTGCAATCATCTTCTGTTCACTTTGGTTTGTTGGCGGGATGAAAATTTGGATACATTATGAGTTTCGCGAAAACATCTCACATTTCGTGCTTGAATGAGTTTTGATTGATTACATTTCGAAGAAACTGAAAGTAAAAGAAAAAAAGTTGATTTTAGTTGAAATTGAAATTGGTTTGATTTCTTTATTTTCTAATTAAAAAAAAAAAAACGTTTTTGCAGAAGACCTTATAAAATACATTCATGTGCATTCCTTTCAGATTTGTAAATAAAAAAATACAGTCAAACACAAAAGCCTAGGCATAGAAAATTTTTCACACTGTATAAAAAGAGGTTTATTTTATCTCCTTTTCGCAAATATTACATAAACATATAGTTCATACTACAACAAAAAACATAAAAATCAAAAATTTAAATTTTGTGCAAAACTCAAAAAAAAAATAAAAATTTTTAACTTTCGAAAAAATTTCAACAAAAATAAAAATAAGTAATAATAATAAAAATAAAAAATTCAACATTTTTATTGATTTTATGTTTTTATTCTAATGAATTAATAAGCTTAAAAAAATAAAATAAAAAATAGAAATAAAAATCAACGGTAATTCAGCGCTATCTTAAACTTGCATTTCATTATACTAAAATGGAGCTTCCATTACTGCGATATTAAACCTTTTCTAAACCAAATCTGATTGAAAATTTTTATGGAAATTTATTGAATTATGTCGCGTTTTGTACATAGTTTAGTTATGTTATTTTTATGTTTTTTGTTGTATATTTTATTTAAAAAAAATTAGCCAAAAAATTTAAAAAAAAACTTTGCATACATTGACTAAAATTCACTTTGCCAAGGCTTCACAGTATATCAGTAGAAAAGAAAATATATATGTATATCTCCTATTTTAATTTTCTGAATCCTTACTAATGTTACACTGTGCTGCAAGAAAATTTTACACACAGAAAAAATAAAATAAAAATAAAAAAACTCACTAAACTAGGAATAAAATATAGTAAAATTGTGTTCTTAGTTTGTCTCTCTGATATTAGGATATTTTCTTAAAGCGCTTTGAAATTTCAAAGAAATGATGATTCAAAAAATTCATGAAGAAATTCACTGGAATGTAAAATAACTATATGGGCAACAAATGAAAGAGAAAATTCCGGATTTAATTTTTTGGTGGAAAAGAACGAACGGGTATTGCTGTCTTTTTAAAATTTCATCCTTGAAAATTTCTAATATTTAAATTTGAAAAAATTATATTAATTACTTTGTCCTCTAACTATATTAGTTAGGTATAACAACAACTAATTAAAAGAGCGTTTTCAATACCTATTCGTCCTTGTGATTTAAACAAATTATTTTGTTTTAATTCCAAAGAATTTTCCCTTTCATTTGGTACTCCACAGCAGCAGTAGATTTTCGTCGCAAGGTGCTATTTAAGCGAAAGTGCGTTTATTTGTTTGTTACTCTTTTAAGCTTTAATCACTCAATCGATCATCATGAAATGTTGCACACTGATGTAATTTAGCCTTACTAAAAATATAGAAGAGCTCTTATCTCGATTGAGAAGTGGGTTTTTCATGCCAGAAGTACGCTCGGAGGTTTTCCATTCTCACTCTGGGCAAAGGTTAGAGTCGCCAGTTTTATGGTATATTTTGCATTTCAGCGGCCTTTCGTTCAATCATTTATAAAAAAGCTTTTTCTATTAGTCGTGTTTATTGAAGGCAAAATTATGTAAAAACATGGACATTCTGATCAATGTAAGGTATTTTATTTACTTTTACAGCTGGATACCTGGCTTACAACAATTTCATTCTTCATTCTAACATGTGGTAAACAGTTTCATTGGGAATGAAACCATTATTTTGAAAGAATGAATGAAATAAAATTAACCGTCGAAAAGTTTTGGACACAATTTGGTTGTAAGTATTAGTTTATTTTATTAATCTCGAAAAAAAAATTCAAAACATTAATTTTTTCGAGGCCACGCCAAAACACAAAAACTGCTAAGAAAATATCTGAGATGAAATTTGCTTAATCGGATAAGCCATGTAAATTGGTTTTTTTTGTACTCTTTTAGAATTTTGCGGCATTGGAAAAGTTTTAAAAATATTTACGCAAATTATTTGACAAGACTTATGAACTTAAATAAGTTGCTATACAAGTAAAATATCGCGGTTATATGGTCATATTAGTTTTTGAACGATATTGCTGTATTAAAAGGTCTGTATGGTTCAAATCCACGGAAAATTAGTTTTGCGGAACTCATTTCCGAGGAACAGTAAACAGTGATGGGATTGTATGGATATTTTTCGCTAAAAATTCGTACGATTTATTTATGTACATATTTACGTGTATACTTATATAAAAATCGTATTTAGTAGCTTAATGCTTTCTGCTTTAATATTGTGATAAATCGTTTTGCTGTACCAGCCCACACATAGCCATTTACACTAATGCAGCTTTGTTGTAAAACCAACACCGTGGAATTTGACTGAGATGCCTTCACAAAGCAAACGAAAGGAACTGAAGCAAAAAGCATTTATTTCTATTTTTATGCTTTAACGTAACTCTACGATTGTTTGTGCTTAGCAACTTCATTGCTTTTTTTTCTACAAATGTTTATTATCTCCCTCTTTCTATTTGTTTTACTGTTTATGAGCTTTGATAAATGAAATTGAATAGTTCTACAAGAAGAGCCTGAGAATGTTTTGCTTTGCGTGTGTGCCTTATTAATTACAAGCTTAGGTAAATAATAGCAATAAAACATTTGACGTATGACTTTATAATAACAAATGAGAAAATGCATACATACATATTAAATGAAATTGTATAACAAACATATCAGTGAGCTCTGGGAGCCGAAAGCCTCAAAGGTTAATGGATGAAAATTTTATTTTAATTAAGTAGAGTGGAATAATATAATTCGAAAAACATAAAATATAGATTTTGAGAAAAAGTGAAGAGAATTGTTAAGACTACTCGAAATTATTAACAATCCGTTGAAAATTAACATTTAAAAAATATCTAAAATTGAGAAAAAAAGATATAAGTAAACTCTACTGAATTTCTGAGCTTGTACTGATTTTGCAAGGAGTTTTACATTTAATAAATATTTTATATATAATTGGCATTATCTTGAGGTTAACATGTTCAAAAAATTGCTTTTGACAACTCTTACGTTTGAGTAGATTGAAAGCAATTTATATAACCTGCATTTACACGTTCATTAAATTTGAACCATTTTTTAAAAGCTGTCACCTTGAAATTGTTTCGTTTTCTAGAAAAGGAAATATCTTTGAATACTTGCCTATGTTCCTGTATATGTATATACAATTACAAGCGCAGGAGTCAAAATATGACTGAACAAAAAAAAGAAATAATAATAATTGACCGCTTGTTAGAGCTCCACGTCTGCTTATGGAAGATTTTTTAACTAGACATGTTTGAATGTCTGCGTCCGTTTATCCGAAAGTCCGTGCATTTTGTATGTAAAAAAAACAAAAATTCTTCGTTCCTAAGAATGTGTCTGCTTATGGGAGATATCCGCTTATTAGAGCATTCGTTTATGAGAGCTTTCACTGTATACGTAGCTTTACTTTGATTTTTGATATTCGAATACCTGTAATTTTATTTGCACAAACACATTTAAAACTATTCAATTTTCGAAAAATCGTTTAACAAAAATTCGGTATTATACCCTTCAGTCAACATTTTGTTGTGAATGTTGTATTTATTAAGCACACTAAATAAACATGTTTTAAATTTGTAGCCTAAAGTATGCAAACAAATTCTGACTCGAGCTCGTTTTCTACTAAAACTGAATATGCTACAAAACTGCGTACTCCAATTTTTTTTTTTAAATTCGCATCAAAATACAACTTGTAAATACTTTTTTCTACTATTTGTGCGAACACAACTGTACGTACATACATGATTTTTTAAAATTTTTGCTCTCTGTTACCTGCGCGACTAACGTTTTATATTTGTGTTATGAAATCAGGAAAACAAATAAGAAAGAGTTTATAATGTTTTTTTTTTTTATGTCAGAGGCAAACAAAACAAAGGTTGGCAGTAATATGTTTAATCTAATATTTTGAACACATTTTGTTCCCAAGCACGCTTCAAAACTAAAACTCAAATGAGAGCAAAGAAAATTTCGAAAACGTTCTCAATGGGATTTATATAAGAACAAAACCGTGTGGAATGTTTGCAGAGAGAATAATTTTAACGTGCAATACATTCGGGAACATTTCTAAGAGAAGATAATTATGCAAATTAAGTAAACGAAAGACTTAAGATACGAACTTTTTTTTTTTTTTTTTTTTTTTTTTTTTTTTTTTTTTTTTTTTTTTTTTTTTTTTTTTTTTTTTTTTTTTTTTTTTT